ACTGATCAAGACACCTGGATTCGTGCCTTTTACTAATAGTCTCAATCAGGAGCAGAAACATTCTGTTGAGATGATCCTTGGCTGTGAAGGTGCTCCTCCTTTTGTCATTTATGGGCCTCCAGGTACTGGTAAAACAATGACCTTGGTGGAAGCAATGTTGCAAATATATGCGACAAGAAAGAATGATCGAATTCTTGTGTGTGCTGCTTCAAACAGTGCAGCAGATCATATATTAGAAAAACTCATTAGCAATGATGTTGCTAAAGTCAAAGAGAATCAAATCTTTAGGCTAAATGCAAGTAGCCGTTCTTACGAAGACGTTCACCCTGATCATATCCGCTTTTGCTATTTTGACGAATCCATTTTCAAATGTCCTCCTCTCAGGGCCTTGGTACAATACAGGATCATTATTTCTACGTATATGAGTTCATCCCTACTGTATGCAGAAGGTGTCAGCAGTGGCCATTTCTCTCATATCTTCTTAGATGAATCTGGCCAGGCTTCAGAACCAGAAAGCATGGTTCCTATAGCTAACTTTTGCAGCAGAGAGACTGTCGTTGTTCTAGCAGGTGACCCACAGCAATTAGGTCCTGTCATATATTCCAAAGATGCTAAGGCTTTTGGTTTGGGAAAATCTTATCTTGAAAGGCTGTTTGAATGTGAATCTTACAGAAATGATGATGAAGGTTTTGTAATAAAATTAGTGAGGAATTATCGATGTCATGCAGCAATTCTAGACCTGCCATCAAAACTTTTCTATAAAGGGGAGTTGCTTGCATGTAAAGAAGATACCTCTTCCTCCATTAGTTCTATTATGGATTTTCTTCCTAATAAAGACTTTCCAGTTTTATTCTTTGGAATTCAAGGCTTCGACGAGAGAGAAAGAAACAATCCTTCATGGTTTAACAGAATCGAGGCCAGCAAGGTTGTTGAAGTTATCAACAAGCTCAGAGCAAGTGGAGACCTAGATGAGGCAGATATAGGAGTAATAACACCTTATCGGCAGCAGGTCATGAAGATCAAAAAGGTACTTGAAAATTGGGAATTGTCAGATGTTAAGGTTGGGAGTGTTGAACAGTTTCAGGGACAGGAGAGAGAGGTCATTATCGTATCTACAGTAAGGTCAACTATAAAGCACAATGACTTTGATAGAACTTACCGTCTGGGGTTTCTTAGCAACCCAAAGAGATTCAATGTTGCAATTACCAGAGCCAGATCCTTGCTTATCATTATTGGGAATCCACACATAGTTAGCCAGGTACTTACTCTTCTCCACTCATAGTTTCAATCCAACGGATTTTTATCCACCTTTTTCTGGTTCAAGCTCCTTTCTGCTAAGGAATGCAGCTATGAACTTTCCAATCATATCTCTTGACCTCTCATTTTACCTTGCTGCCAAAATTTCGTGTCATTGTGTCAATCTTTTCTTCTGGGTTGTTGCAAAGCATGTCCAAAGGGTCAAATTAGTTCATCATGTTTGATATGGAATATGCATGTTGCATGCTGTTTTTAACATTTATGTTGATTTCTGGGTTACTCACATGTAGTCGAAACTTGACACATGTAAGCAACACAGACGAACATACTCTTTATCTACTATTAGTCAAGCATGCTTGGAACTTGTTCATGTAGTTACTAAATCATCTTTTTTTTGTCTTTTTTTTTTTTGAGCTTGTAATGTTAGCAAATTAAATGACAACTGAATTCTTCGTTTTGAAGGATCCTTACTGGGAAAAGCTTTTGTGGTTTTGTGCCGACAATAACTCCTACAAGGGCTGCCCTTTACCTGAAAGGCAATCCTCTGCATGTGAAGAGCCTATCCTGAAAAGAAATTCAACTAGTGAATTAGAGAACTCATGCCCTTCGAGAGTCAGGGAATGGTTTCAGTCACTTGATGAAGAGGTTCCACAGATTACACGGATTGTCACGGACGCAGCTGAGGGGTCTGGCTGCCGGAAATAAACTTGCTCAGACTTCCTTTTTCATATTATGTTTTCTTAGATTTAAGCATACATATATTTCTACAGTAGGGCTTTTCAAGGAATTCACGAGCTTATATTTTAGGGGACAAGTGAGATGCGTATTGCAATTTGCCTATCATGACTATTACAGATTTTTCTGTCATATTCATTTAGCCACCTTTCTCATCACCTTTACCTGCCTCCCTGTCTAATAAAAAATGCAAACTGCCTGATATGCATAGATTTCAAAATGGCTGTAGCAACTTACCATGGAGAAACACCACAATGGCATAAAGTCCACAGAATGTCTCTGTTTTTGCCTACTTCTACCGCTACAGCTCCTTGTATCGAAAATTTTTATGGCCTATTTCAAAGGCGGCATCAAATTATGATTTGAAATAACTAAATTTGGGATTCACTAATCTCCATGCTTACCATACCATCCAAGGCTACAGCTAATAAAAAATAATTGAATTGTTCAACCTGTCTTTTTTTTTTATGAAAATTTAATTTTTTTAATTTTTTTTTTAGTATTTTTCAATAATTTTGATATTCTGATAAATATTTTAAAAACCAATCACTATCATATTTTTAAACCTTTTATTTATTCCTTATTCATCTAATTATATTTCATTTTGAATGTATAGAGTTAAATTTTATCATGATGCTTAAATAAAAACCAATTTAATATTATAGTAATGATTATTTTTTTAAATATTTTTTATTTTTTAAAATTTATTTTTAATATTAATACATCAAAATACTTTAAAAAATATTTTTTTTATACAAAAATAAGTAAAAATAAACAGCCCCTGCACTTGGATCGCAAGTGCAATAATGTAGATGTGCCACAATGAAGAAGGTAGGAGATGACATGATGTGAAATGTAAAAAGATATCCCACATCGAAACAACATAAGATGCAGGACAAGGCATGGGAATATAAATAAGAAGCCCTTCACAACGTTTCACATACTTACCTGGACGGGGTCAATGGGCGATCAAGAAGGTCCATGGCCTAGGTCAGTGACGTCCATTGCACTGAGGATGGGTGCTGGCTTAAGGTCTCCCCAAGTGGGAGATCCTACGTCAAAATTTGTGGTAGAGGGGGCTGCGCAAGTCGCGGCCCCTATCTAATTCTAGTGGGCAAGGTTAGAATTTGAATGTTCTGAGCCGTCGCGACGTTATATGAGAGTATCAGAGGTTCAAGAAACGAACAATTTGTGTCATTAAGGAATGGGCGTGGTAGCTGCAGTTGGGAAAAAGGATGCCCGTGTGCGCCATGGCAAGTCTGACCTTTCTGGTGAACTGGCCCACCCCTTAACCCAGACTGGGACTGGCTCTCGTGGACGGATATCTGCTTGGCACCAAGATGCCCGAGTGCGCCGTGGCAAGTCTGACCGTTCTGGTGAACTTTCCCACCCCTTGTGGTAATTGCATATGGAAAGATCAGGGTTCGCTCATTTTCCAGTTTTTCATCACCTTGGCCAATCCGGCAGAGAAGGAGCGGCTGCCACGAAGGGATGGTTAGATTACTTTATTAATTTCCGATGAGGTCATCCAAGCTTAAGAAATTTTAAGTTTCCAATCTTTCTCTGGGGAAAAGTGCTCAAGGCATTCGAGAGAACTCTTTAAGAAATGGGGAAAAGAAACTATAGCATGACACTTTGGCTTATAGGCCATGGAGAAGTTAATAATGGAGATGGTGAAACTATAGCATGACACTTTGGCTTATAGCCTGACATCTTAAAATAGATGTTGGCAGTTCATACCAGCAAACAATCTTCAAAGAAGCCAACCTTTCAAAATAAATTACGTACCAAGGGACCATGAGTTAATAATGGAAGCAATTTGGAGATGGTGAACATTCTTGGCTTGACAAGCAGCAGAAACAAATATCATGGTTAGCGTAGTTGGGTTCGAAACACTAAGCCAACTACAGATTATAATGGTTTTTGAAAGTAAACAGACAAATCATTGTTTAACCAAGCAGTGAAGTAGGCAACGGGTATGAAATAGCATTAAGAAGGCAATAGACTTTCCAGAAATTAGTTTCCAAGCATTTTCTGGCTGATACCCTATTTCAGCAATAGCTGAACAAGGCACATGAAAACGACTTATTAAGAATTGGAGAAAAAGAAGAACCATGTGTAGTCTCAGATATCTTGGCTTTAAGTCAATGGGGATGAGTCCTTGAATAAGAGATGACAGTACATCCAAGCAAACCTTCATTTAAAGAAAGCAGTTCCCGTCACTACATCGTTTGAAAGTTGATTCATATATAAATGGTTATTAGGAACAAGAAATCACTAGAAGGTTAAACAATGATGCCCAGAAAGCATAAAGAATTTGGATGTGCAAACCAAGATCCATAAGAGTCCTTTCCCTCTTTTCTTTTTCAACTGGGGAATGTCTTTCCCCCCTCTATTACCCCTAAGAGGTTGCTGAAGTCCGTATCTAGTTTTAAACACTGATCAGACATTCTTCAACTCCGCCAGTAGTTTGATTTTCATGATATCATTCTTTTTATCTGGTTAGTGTTTTCATCAAATGGTCTGACTGTCTCATTGCTTGTGGGCATGCATGCAGGGACAGAATTATTAGACAACCCATATCGGAGCAAAACGAAATAACCCGTGAGCAAGTGACTATAAACATGGAGCAGACAGGAAAGCTAAAGCACGCAGCCGCGCGGTGAGCACAAAGCGAACTATTCTTTCGCCTTTTACTAAAGAATACCGTGTGCGCGCCGCAATTAGCGGCATACGCTTATTTTTGGAGGGTGTTTTTTCCTTGGGAAAAATACCCTAACTGAAAAGTTTAAAGTTCTGCTTCTCTTAAATAAATTGTCGTGGAAATATAGTCCCTGTTTGGTATTTGTCATCTGTTCTTGTAGATTTATCAAATTGGGAGGCGGCTAAAGATTGTTGGTTATTATATCCTTGTGCTATCGACACTCGCATCAAAGCTTTTTCAGAGTTACGAGATCTAGCCATTTTGATTCCATTCCCATTACTGGGTTTAATCCTCCACCAAAAGTAAGAAATTCCGCCATGATAACAAGTTCGTGCTTTTAGATTCCATCTTTTACTGACAGAGTAAAAGCCTTGAAATCTCACTTAACAAAAAAGAAAAGCAGTGATCTACAAGTATTTTTTTCAGTCCTCAAACCTTTGCTCTGGTGCTGCATATCAGTATCTGACGTAAAAAGCAACGTGGTATGCCATTATTTTGTGTCTGAACAAGTTCTATGGCATTGTAATATGCTGTCATACATTGCATGGTACTGTCAAATACGCATAGGTATGTATTTCTTCTTTAGTATAAATTAGATTCTATTCACTGTATTAATAACAATGAGCTCTGGCTGTTTTTCTTTCTAGGTGAACTACATTTCTCCTTGGCAATTTCTGATAGTTTATTGTTTTTTTTTTTTTCCCCTTTTGTTCCAAGTCAGATTATCATCAATTGTCACGAGATTGGGGATGATGCATTGATCAAGGTCTCGATACAAAGCTTCGGAGGAATCTGCCCAAATTCTCTCACCAAATCAACCTTTGAAGCTCATTTTTGGGAACAGATACTTGGGATGGAAATGCTTTACTTACAAACTTCACTAATTTTGGATTTTGATTCTCTACCATACAATCAATCAGTTTTGTAGGCATCAACATATCTCTACTCGGTATTAAATATAACTCACTAGACTACAGAAAATGGGTGCAGGTGCATTGGGAATGCAGTGAAGCGTTGTACGCTCAACTTTACAATCCCACACAGAGAAAAGACAATGTTCAACCAAGGAATGGCCTAGGTCAGTGACATCCATTGCACTGAGGGTGGGTGCTGGCTTAAGGTCTCTAGTGGGAGATCCTACGCCAAAATTTGTGGCAGAGGAGGCTGCGCAAGCTGGGGCCCTGTCCAATTCTAGCTAAAGATTTCTTTGAATTCCAACTTGAAAGTCCGATTCTAAATTCCAAGTTTATATACTAATATGGAGTCTAATCTCCTTGCAAGGTGATTTTTTGTACAATTTTGGTTATTGTTGGTGAAATTGTAATTATAGTTTTGATTGTTTACATATTTTTCTTACTTGAGTAATATATACATTTGGATGGGCTACTAAAACTGTTATATCCGGTGTTGATTTTAATTCCACAAGGTTCAAAGAAAAGTGAGACAAAAGGAAAAAAGTGTGAGAAGTATTTTTGAATAAAAAACCTATATTTGAATTAAACACATAAGAGAATGAGTAAAGAATATACATATACGATAAACTAACTAATTTTTATATTTAAATATGTCATAGGCAAGCAACAATACAAAAAAGAGACAATAAAATTATAACGCAATTATGCATTATGAATCAATGGATGGATCAGATGACTAATAAATTTGAGATAGGTTAGAGAGTTATTATGTTAGTGATCATGATGGGGTTCGAATTAGAAATGAACAAAGAAAATTTAATGTTAGAATGGATGTTAGGTGAGTTAACACTAATATAGATAAGTTTGTAGAAGTAATTATAGGTACCGAGACCATAATACTGAGTTAGATAGAGATATGGATACAATTAAGCTGAAAATACTAACTTTTCAGGGAAAGAATGATCCTCAAGATTATTTACAATTTGAGAAAAAGGTGGAATGGATTCTTTAGGGTCATAATTATTTGGAACCCAAGAAAGTCAAACTTGTCATGATTGATAAGAAGCAAGTTGATACTTAATATCATAACCTAATTTTGGATTATTCCTAAAAAATCATATTTTTTTTAAAATAAAAATAAAATAATAAAATAAATATGGCAACATGGAGAAAGTAGGCCGAGAAATTAAGAAACAATTTTGGAGGAAATTTTAAGGCCTAATTGTACCCTATTATGCCCAAAAAAGAAGAAAAATACAAATTCAAAGTCAAATAAAATGATTATTTGATGAATTTGCATAAAAATTAGGTTCAAAAACATAATTAAATTTATAATAAGCCAATTTGATTTAATTAAGTGCAGGGACTTAATTATACTTTAAATAGGTCAAATTAATTTTATTTAGGGCTTGATTGGTGAAAAATTAAGTTTGGGAGCCTAATTTGGATTTAATTGAGAAGATTGGAATTTTAAGAGATCAAATTTAATTTTTACCAGTTAATTGATTAAAATTAAGGTTCAAATTGCAAGAAATTTGAAGTTTGGGGTCAATTAAGGGTTAAATTGAAGAAATTCACAGATAATGATCATTCTGTAACATATAGCAAATTATAGGGGCTTAATTGATGAAATTCGTGGGTGAAATTGAAGATATTGAAATTTTAATGGTCAATTAGAGGTTAAATTGCATAGAACTAAGACCAAGGACCAATGTGCAACAAGTGCGTAAATCCAAGTTTCTAATTGATGTTCATCTAGGGACTCAATTACATAACATTAAATGTTTAAAACCGATCAGGTGTGTACAAGAGACATATTAAAAATAAAAGGACCAAAATGAACTTCACAAAAATGGCGCCGTTTCAGTTATTGTTCACTTTCATTTTTTATTTTCTCTGAAATAACATATCAGGTTATCTACTTTGCAGGTGCATTTAGTGCCTCTACACTCTACCAAATTTGACGCAACTTGCACGAAAATAATCAATTAACATCTCTCTATCTGAGGGTATGGTCCGTTCAGGTGGAATGACAACATGTTGGCCCTAGTGCCAGCTTAAAGAGGCCAACTTAGTCAACTTTTTCCCGCTGATTCGAGAGTGCACTGACACGACTAAAAGATTGATATCTTCTCCCAAGTGCAGGATTATCGAAGTAATAAATAACCCGGCAAGACCGGGGTCGAACCACAGGGAGGTTAATTGTACTAATTATAAACAACAATTATAAAAAAAACAATAATAACAACAACAACAACAACTATAATAATAATAATACTAATAATAATAATAAAGAAAGAGAAGAAAAGGAAGATGATGAGAATTTGAAGATGGAAAATTAATGTAAGGATTAAACAATAATAATAACAAATGTCAAGGTTAGAGGCTTCACTAATGGTATGTCAAACAAGTATAGTATAAACTCTTATTATTCAATTGGAAACCACACACAAAGGTTTCAAACATATTATAGATTGTTAACATGATTACATTAGTCATCTTATTCGATTAATGCTAGTACTTGTAAATCTCGTCAAGCATTCATGATTATAACTTATGTTAACAACAAATCAAGTTCCTTTCATAGCTCAGGTGTCGGTTATACCATACATTATGGGCTATGAAAGTGCCAAGCATTTGTTGTACCAAGTGTTATACAACATAAATCAAGATTAGTCATTTAACAAGCAAAGTATTAAAGAGTGAACAAGATAACAAATACAAAACATGTTAGTATCAAACATTAAAGTCCATATTAAGTTTACACTATACTTATTCTTACACCATTAGTGTAACCTTTTCACCTTGACATAATAAACTTAGCTAGATATAATGAAAGAAAGAAAAATAAATAAACAACATAATAACATAAATAAGATGAAAGTTAACTAAGTAAATGAAAGGAAATGAAAGACATAAAATTGATATTAATAAAAGCAAAGCATAAATATTACAAAAAATACAAAGAGAGAAAGGAAGAGCGTGATCTTGATCTGGAGACCAAGATGCCTAAATGCATGGTAAATGCCTCCTTTTATAGGCCAAAATTGGGAACTATTGATTTGATGACTAATTGATGAGTGGGTGACCAACTCTTGACTTGGTGACAATCCTTATCTTCTCTTGTCTGCCCAAAAAGTCATTGATAACGTCAAAATTGGAGACACTTAAAAACATGAAAGTTGTAGCTAATTGTCTCAGCTTTCTTGTGTAAACAATTCAGCTCATTTGGACTTCTAAAACTCCAAATATGGCCAAAATACTGAACAGTGCTCGGGCTGGAGGACAGATTTGGGCTTCTTTGTTGTTGCTACAATTTGGACTTGAAATTGGCCTTTTTAGATCTTGGGCTCCATATGAAAGTTGTAGGCCTATGTCTTACCTTTCCATCCATATAAAGTAGACCTAAATCTGAGATCTATAGCTCCATATATGACCCAATTACCGAACAGTGTTCCGGTTTGGATTGCACCGACATCTCTTTTCTAATTTTGGTCATCTCTTTGCCCTTGCAATTTAAGTTCTTAAAGTCATCAATCAATCCTTTCATTTATGTGATAGGCCTGCATTTAAAATGAACATTTACCACAAATTAAAGGTATCTTATATTATTAGATATATTATTATAAAACATGTTTTAGTTAAGGAGTTATTGATACTTCAAGTGCAAAATGATGATATAAAACCATGATAAAAATGCACTTTTAAGTACTAATCATGCACCATACCTACTTTGAACCAATGATTAGGATCCTTCCCAACTGAATTAAAGGCTGATATTTTTTTTCAATCTAGACAAGATTGCCCTCATCCACCGTATATAAATAGAGATGGATTTCATGGCCTAAGAGAGGAGAAAATCAGGTTCAAAGTTGGCCAAAAATCAGCCTCTCTACCCTGTTTATACAGTTTTCTCTCCCAGCTGTTTAACCACCAACCAGAGCCACCACAAGCTCCATCATTGGAAGCCAACATAACCACCAACCGACCACCGAGAACCACTATGAACCTTTCTCTCTCCTCAGCAAACCAGTTTCTCCCTTCTCCTATAGTGACACTGGCAGCCAACGCCTCCATCAACCTCTCATCTTCCACGGTCAAACCACCTCCAACTTTACTCTAGGCCAACAACAACAATTTCTTCTCCTCCCTACTTCACTTCCTTTTTCTTCGTCGAGGCCACTCCATGCAGAATTCATTTCTGCATGCAACGACAGAATAATTCACTTTGGATTTAGGCTGGGCCAGAATTGGCTGGATTTGGCCTGACCTTAAAAAAGAGAGAAAATATGTTGGGCCGAGATCGGCCCAACCATTTTCTAGGTTTGTGTCTAGCCCAGTTATCTGGGTTGCCTAGCCCACATGTTTTAATAATATTTAATTAATATATAATGTTATATTATATATTTCTTTTAAAAAATGAAAAATAAAAAAAATAAAAAATCCTTTGAAAAAAATTGTGATTTTCTCACATGTTTTTCTATCAATTTTGCATAATATCAAGTTATATATTTACACTGCAAAATACAAATCCAGTATTAAAATACCTAGTTTTCTCTGAAATTTTTCAAAAAAAATTCTCAAAACATTTTCAAAAAGAAAAAAATATTTTATTGCATATTGCCAAATCCTTAAATTTTTCCAAACAATTTTTTTAATAAAAACAAAAATTGCATCTTTTTCATGTTTTAAAAAATCCAAAAATGGATATCGTAACCAATTTATAATCATCAATTAAGGTTTGGCCAAAATATGAAAAACATTTTCCAATATTTTCTTCAAGGTTTCAAATGTAGAATTTAATATCTGAAGGGTGTAAAATTACACGATAAAATACACCCTCAAATATTAAAGATATAAGGTGTAAATAAATACGATATTAAAATTCAGATTACAGAATGGTTAGAATTTAACTCAATAAGGTAGAGACTTTCTCATAAAGAGAGATCTACCTTAATCCCTAGAATGACCAAAGAATAAAAACCTGATCCAGAAAAACAATCAAACAACAATGTAGCTTACCTTAGGTAGGGTGTACTGGGGGTTATGCATCTTCCCCT